CGTTTTTGCTGGCTGTAGTAGCGCTATAGCGCTGCTATAGCGCTGCACAGCAAAAACGCATAAAAATCATGCATGGAATGCATATGTGAAGAAGCAGTCTGTGTTTCATTTCTTAGCAGTAAATGCGGAGCTCTGCGTGCGGGTAGCAACTGTGATGTAATTTCCAGTGGCAGCCTGCATATGATGCAATTTTTATGAAGGCAGTGTGCTGACGAGACCTTTGATTCCACAATCAATGGAAAAGAATTTGCTGAGTGCAGATTCCTGAAGTAGAATTTCAGGACACTTCTATTTTGCCGATGCCGGACGTTCTATGTCTTCATGTCTACTAGTGGTCTAGCCCAGTTCAGAAATCCTTCAATAAAAAGAGTACACATACGCGTATAACGAAGCAGCTGAAATATAATGACGCCTGCACCATACTGTCTATATTTCTGTCTAGAAATCCACCTTGGTTCACTGTAAACGGATAGTCCTCCAGGGTCTTATTGTATGCGTTGGATGTACATCTACCTTCTTGGCATTTAAACTACAGGTCTAAAAAACAAACCCTCTATCCACAGTAAGCGGTACCGAACCGCAGGGTGGGCCCACAGATGCTACGGGAAAATTCAACAAAGTTGGGGCTGTTAACGACAAGAACGTCATCGATGTATCACAGAAACGCAGGTATGAAACAGCTCATCCCGAACAAAACTGTCTGCAGTTCATTGGTAGAGAATTTGGAGAAAAGCAAGACGCACTCGCTAAGTGTATTAAGCAAGTTGTGAGCACATCGAAGGCCAGCGAAGGCGGAAGTGAGGTAGTACTGATGTTTGCAAATGACGATTGGGATCGAATGTGAAATACTGCCCCAAAACTGCTAAAACACAAGAAACGACGGAATGCATTGCTCGCTTCAATTTTTTCCATAATCAAACTTATATAGCTGTTCCAGGATTGCATTGCCTTGACTAGTTTCATTTCTCGTACACATGTTTTGCACTAAATCCAATTAGTCACGTGTCTTTTACACAGTTTACACAAAATACAGCTAAAAAATCACACGAACTGTATTATGTCCTTACAGCCAGCCACCAAACATTACTATTAAATCCCTACATATTTGTGGTTGTGAAAATTACAGGAAACCATATAAGTTGAAAGGAATCACATCAAACACAGCATAAGTTTAAAACAGGATGCAATATTTTCGACAAATCAATGCTCTGCCTTAAGTCCGACACTGTTTAGATCAAAGGTAAGGATCGGTCGACGCGGTCGTTCCATCACCAAATCTGAAGGAAACACTAAGCAAAAAGGCTTGAAATCTAGGTACTGCAGTTTAATGGAACGATTATGATAGCTCTTCATCAATCAAAAGCAAGCAGATTCACTTCCCTAAGCAAAGCCACATATAATGTAAACTGTTGTGTG